TTGTAACAGCTAATGTGGAAAAAGCAAATCTTTGTATATATTTTTGGAAAATATACATACATATATTTGCATAAATTCCACATGCTCTAATGACATACAATTATCAAAGTGGATACTTGAATAAACTGTCAGCTAAAGAGCTCAGCAGACATGCCCAACCCTGTTAGTTATTCTACTTATTTTATCACTTTGAAGTTCTCTTCAGCCGTTTAATTCAAAGTTTAAACCCCTTTGCTAGTGCCTCTTTTAATTACAGCCGTACTTTGGTTGGAATCAAACAGAAACAATTAAAAGAAGAATGTTTTCAGACCAGTCGATCCAGCTGACGAATGGAGCTGGAACACAAACTAGCGGGAAACTTTCCAGAGTTTAAGAATTCATTACACAGAAACATTAGAATTCCAAACGAGGGCGTTGATGATAACGATGCATTTTTCATCTGAAGACTTAGAAGGGACATTTAAGCTCTGGTTATTATTCAGAACAACTCTCATATGAGCTGACACACGAGGCGTCAAAGCCAGAGGCTAAGACTTTCATGGCGCTTTAATCAGCAGATCGCACAAACTCCATCGAGGGAGACAGATGAGTGAAGGGAGCTGTCCTGTCAGTCAGAGGAGACTAAAGGAGGCAGAGACCACAGCATCTCAGAAGCACTTCAACGCTGTTAACTTGGATGACTGTGACCAAAAAGATGATGGTGCTTTGAGCTTGGACAGACTTTATGAACTTGTGTCGTTAATAAATTGATCTAAGTATCTTAAACTTCATGGTGGCTTTTCTTCAGGTAATCATCAAGTCAATTTACAATGTAATCTCTCCTGTGCCCGCTGCCATCAGCCATGTTTTAATTGGATATAAAGCTGAACATTTTGTGGCTGGCATTGATGTTGCAATCAGTATGGTAAAGTAACACACGAAATGCCATTCAGGAGTTTATTTATAATTTAGTACTGTTCTTTCTGAGAATTAAATACAAAGAAATCGTTTTAGTTTTTCTGACTGGTTGAAATGTTTTAGAATTTAAAGGGGCGTTGTTATGTATTTTCCAGGCATATCGTGCCATTTTTATTGAACAATCAAGTAACTGTTACATTCAGTTATTATAAAAATGCTATGAACATCAAACATGACTTTGACTTTGTAATTTGACTCCTTTAAATCGGGTCCGTGTCTCTTCAAGAAGCTCCTGTCCTTTCCAACTCTGACTTTAGCACATCATCACAGCAATGCTTCTCGTTATGTCATTGACAAACGTTCTTAGCAGTTTTGAACTGAGAAGAAATGTGCTTGATAAGTTCAGCAGTCATGCAGTTCCACCAGGCGTTTGCTGATTGCTGCTGCCGCTAGTCTGGAGGAGCTGAGTGGGGAAGTTGAGAGGGAGGAATACTTTGTTAAGCAAACTGGAGACTGCAGCTCCAAAGAGGAGTTTTGTGGGAATAAGCGGCTCTATGCTGTGGTCTTTGCCAAGAATTCCTCAAAGAATCAAATAAACATTCTAGGTATATTTTTGATTAAATAAGTTGAAAAAGGCACATTTTTAGTTTTATCAGTGCTCTGATAGAGGCAGAAAAAGTTGACTCCCATCTAATAGCTGGGGGATGTGCCCCAGCAGGGCTTAATGTGTAGATGTGCCCCTGATTTTAACACTGCAGCTGTGAACTGCTTCCCAGAGTGTAAAGTGACTGTTAGTTATTCATAGGAACCCTATCAAAACTCTGTTTTATTACAGGGATTCCAGCCAGATGAACATTAAAGAAAACAGTGAAAAGAACATTATATACAGTCCTAAGCACATAAGCAGAAGGACATTTTAGTGCCAATCAGACAGTTTATAGAGATTAAAAGCGTAATAAAAATAGGACCAGTACTTGTAAAAGCAGGACTGTAATGTAATTTAGCAACAGACTCTGTCAGTCATATTCTTAATTGTTTTGACATGCATACAAATTTATCTGTTTCTGAATGCAACAAGCAGTTAGTTTTAACTTCTTGAAAAAAATGAAGACGAATCTCACTTTAAACAAAAGGTTTTACATATTTAGCTCTGTTAGTTAACCAAAATTCCCTGATACATCATCCAAATAGTAATTAGACTCCCTCTGTGTGCATTGCATCTCAGTATACACCCAGCTGTTCAGTGAAGACCTCAGAGGTTTGTTTGAGAACATTAGTGAGAAAAGCTCAGCATGAAGACCAGAGAACATAAAAGATGTATAAGGGCTGAAGCTGTAAAGCACAGATTAGAGCACTATCTAAACAGGCAAACAGTATCCAAACCCTAATGTTCAAACTGTGATTAAAAAACAGAATATTGTGAAAATGCACACCTACCTGGATATGGACGAAACTGGCAGCCCATGTAAGAAGGGTATTAAGAGCTGCAAGTAGACAAACATTGTAAAATGAAAGAAAAATGGAATAGGCAAAGATTTTAGTCTCAAGATAATTTGAAGAAGAAAAAAATCCCACCAAAGATTTGTCGCTGAGTTACGAATAAAGGTGGTTTATATGAAGGGTTGAGCTAAATACAAACATACAGCACACTTGTGAGTTTATTTGCTAAAAAGAAACATGTATCCATTTCCTTTTCTCTTTTACAGGTATATGCATTACTTTTTTATTGGTCTATCACATAAAATCTCAATAAAATGGAGGACAAAATGTGAACATGTTCAACAGGCATGAATATCCTTGCAAGCACAGGATTCTTCAGCTGAAAGAAAAAGCCAAAAACTGTGATTGTGTTGTACATAACACAGAATATTCTTGAATGTAACACCAACTGTAACAACCTTCTTTTACCCAAACCATATCTTTCACATCTTTCACTGCAGTGCTTTTACAGTCTTTTTACATTAATGATTTTTTTTTTTTTGCAAGGCCTTTTTGGAATCTTACTGCATTTTCTTCAGCATCTTTTGTGTGCACTCTCTGACCAGTTATGTGTTTGTGAGGAATGTAGCTTTGCCTGAGTAAAAATTATCTCCGCAGCATGAATTTCTCAGTAGTAGAAGCCTCCGTTCCAGCATGATCATATTACACACAGTAAATACTGGGGTTCAGGAGACTTTTGGTTGAGAGGACTGCTTGGTCCCTATGGCAAACTGGGGTTGAGGATTACAATGGTGAAGTGGGACTGTGGGTGAGCTGTGGGAAAAGCGTAAGCACATAAATTCATGGTTATCTGTGAGCGGGAGGGGGGCCTCTTGTGTCAAGGTCCTATCATTACCAGCAGCAGAACATGAATGAATATGAGGCAATATTCATGAATATTCTATTGAGTTGTTATCTTTCTCTTTCAACTTTCTTTTTGTCGCCTCCCTCCCTCCTCCTGTTTTCCCAGATTTTCTTTCTGCTATTCTTATCTCCTGCCTTCTCCTCCTTGCTTTAGCGTTTTCTGTGTCTGTCTTACACTCTTGCTGTGCTGTGTCTCAGGGCATTAAGGTGTTTCCCACAAGTTCTCTTGGTTCACCTTTAAATCTAACACATTGCAACGACTTCAGAAATACAAGACTACACCACAGAGCTCCCGCTGTGAAGTATCTGTCAGATCCCTCAGTCCTATCTTCACTCCATTTTATTTATATTTAAGTCTATGGTTAGTTTATAAATGTTCCTTATAAATGGTTAGTTTATATCAGTAAATATTTTATCTCATCTACTTAAATTGACCAAAATCACCATTTTTAGCAAGTTCCTTTTTTTTTTTTTTTTTTTTTTTATCACTGTGGTAGTTTTAATCATGCATAGTTTTTTTTTTTTTTTACAATATCTGGTGTTTATTTATGTCTTCACCCACCTTTTAGTTCATGTCCCACAATCGTTACAAATAAACTAGATATTCAGTATTAATGTGAAATGCTCTGATAAAAGGTTTCATAGTTCAGTGGCTCCTCTGACTTGTTTTCCAAAGCCCGGTGGGGTGAGTCAAATGGAGTGATGGTGTTTGATTCATGCTGTGGCAGAGTCCAGTGCCAGTTGGCGCAGAAGTGCAAAAGGGCCACGGTCTATTGGCCGTAAAATGAGCGGAGGTGCCCTGCTTTGACTGGCTCTTCCACAGGACCCCTGGGCACAGCAACAACAATCAGCTACATCAAATGGAAGCGCTAATGGGTGAGAAAATGTAACTGAAAAGGGCAACAGCACTCTGGCAGACAAAGTGATAGAAGATGGTGGCCCCACTGGACCAGTTTCTGCCTGATTGCTTCAACATTTGGCAGGGTCCACACTGAGGTCAGTGACTGGTAAAAATCAAATAGTTGACTTTCTTTCATGATGAAATGTGAGATTCTACATTACATTGATAATGGGAGAAGCCCTGAAAGGTACAGGGAAAAAAATAAGATGCATTTTTGATGCCTGATTAAATTTTCCTCATGTATAAGTACAAAAAAGAGGATTAAATATGTGAAAATATTGAAATCTGACTGCTCCTTCTTTTCCTTATTCTTATTATGTTTCTGCCAAATGAATTGGATTTTTGCGGGTTTTATCATATTCAAAAACTCACCAAAGTTTTTCCTTCTCTGCACCACCCAAGTCTGACTTAAACCCCAGGGTCATTACCTAGAGAAATAGTGAGCTTTGGTTAAGTTTAACACAAGCTTTAATGCTGAAAACGAACACATTTTACAGGTGATACAAAAGGAAGGGATACAACGTGACATTTACCGTCCAAAGAATCCTTTTGTCCAGAACAGAATGTTCCTTATAAGTTTCTTGTGTAAAGTTACAAGATTCATAGTTTCTTTTAAGAAGGACATTTAGTTCTGTTAGTCTTGATTTTTCACAACGTACCATCAGGGCTTTTTTGTATTTTTTTGTGTATGCCGTATGTTTTTCCTCAACTTAATCTTTGTTAGCACCTTAGCTCCACTTTACACCAAACTACTTTTTAGCCACATAAAAAGAAATGCTTGTTTTTTTTCTTTTTTTTCAAGTAACAACTGGATATCTAATCATATCTTTAATTAATCAAACCAAAGACTGCTAAAGTGAACATTTGTACATTTTAATTTTAATGTATTTTTTGCCATCTTAGAAAAATGGCAATGTTCACAGAGTACGCTGTCTGTGGCAAAAAAGAGATACTAAGACTGAGAGTGTTTCTCAGTCATGAAATATATTTGGAGCCTCAGTTGTGCAGAAGTTTGTGAAGTCGAGATCCTTCCTGTGAGACGCAGACCGAACTTAGTTCCTGTGAGATTTTATCAGCCAACATGTGCAAGTTCAGGACAAATTTGAAGTATTTTTAAAACAAAATGTTTCAATGATTTCATGTGGCATATTGCAGTCAGCAAAGCAAACAAAACATTGTACACATACTATTTTTAAGTCACATTCATGCAACAGTACACTACATTTCAAGGACTAGTACAACATGTTCAAGATTACATTAATATGAAATTAATTGCATAAAACTGTTGCAGGAAAATGTAACTATCTGATCCATCAATGTTTCAGGAGTCTAAAAAAGTAACATATTTGATAATAGTAATATCAGTTCACGCAAAGCTCTGACGAGGAAAGTCCTGTTTTAAATTTAGATTTCTGACCCAAGTGAGAACTTTGACTAATTGACCTGAAATAGTCATATAAAATATGTCTGCTGTCTTACTTCAACAGGCTGCAGCAGTCTGTCAGAAGCACATAGCTTTATCCATAAATAAAGTCGACTAGAGTTTTGTGACCTTATTGAGTTTTAGCAGTTCATTCAACAAAAAGCTGTTTGCTTGAAATCTGGCAGTAGATGGTTCAGTGAAGGTGAATCCATCTCAGTTTTTGTCAAGTTGAGTTTATTGAATGTTTTCATAAAGACATGAATTTCACACATTGGAAACTCTACCATTTGTTGTCCTTTTAATTGAACAAATTTAGAGAAATCCTACAGTTTATCAGCGCACTTTACTCTTTACTTTGTCATGTAAACGTTTGGACAGAAACTGACTGAGTGAGCAGCCAGCAATACAAACTGCTAGACATACAGAGAGCCTGGAGCACCGTGGATCACAGATAAGTGTCTGTCCTGTGATTGGTGGCTTTCTGTCCAGCAGGAAGTTGTGAACAGAGATTAAAAGCTGCTGCAGGACTGCAGACATTCACAGGAATCTGTACCAGCAATGGCCCTTACGAATGTTCTGCTGCTGCTGGGGCTGGGTGAGTCGGACACACTGGAGACACATTCATTGGCTCTGAATGCTATGAATTATGCTGATCATTGTGTTTTATTTTATCCTTTTCATTATAAAGCTGTCATATTGGTTCCTTATTTCTACCGTATGGATTTAATTTGGTAAAAACAGGTGTTGCAGTGAGCTCAGCGTCTCTGCAGAAGAGAATCATTGGAGGTGAGAACTGTAAAGACGATGAGCGACAGTATCATGTGATGGTCCGTAAACATAGTAAAACAGATTGGAAATTCTGTGGAGGATCTCTGATCAGTGATCAGTGGGTTCTGACTGCAGCTCACTGTTGGCCAAAAGATCCCAGTTGGTGAGTGAGGAAAAGATTTACTGAAAAATCACCAATAACTGATTGTCGCTTTAATAATTGTGTTTTATTTGTCTAGGGTTGTTGACGCACATGTAGGAGTTCATCCTAAAAGTGTTCGAAAGACGATTTATAGAATCACTCACCATGTGATTTATGCAGACAGCAATGGCCGTAAACATGACATCATGCTCCTGAAGCTGCCAAGCAAAACAGCAATCCAACCAATCAAACTACCTGACTGTCCAGATACTCTCCTACTGTGAGTTTTATCTTCTCAATTTTCAGAAAAATGCCTCTTGAGCTTCCAGGTAATGTTTATGTAGGAATATTTTTGCGGTCTGGTCTCCCAGAGTTAGCGGTTTTTCTTAATGTGACTTATTTTTAGCTTTGTTTTTCTTGGGTTTCAGTGGGACCAAGGTTCAGATTGCAGGGAATGGACCAGCAAGACTTGGCTCTTTTAACAAAAGAAGTGAGATAAATATTCATGTTTCTCAATGTTTTCGTCATTACCTCAAATTGATTCTGATGATTCAAATCATTTTTAGACTTTCTGCTGAAGCTGAACTTTGTAACTTACTGAAGTTTTGATCATCAAAAACTCTCTGAGATAAACTACTTAAAGTTGAAATCGGACATTTGGAGGAAACTGTGAGCTTAGTCTGAAAATTTGAAAAAGCACACATTGCATGTCCCTCTCCTGTAAAATGAGCAGGGTGTACATGAGCATTGATTGACAGCACTTAGATCCTCTTGATGGCACTGATTGGTTGTTTTTGACCTGGAGTGGCGCATTTCTGCAGACAGCTATACAACAGGGAGGAGGTGGAGGAGATCAAGATTTTCATAGATTATCTGTCTCACTTTTACCATGAGGACATAGTGTCCTAAAAATACATTTTACACAAGTTAATAACCACAGACAACAAGGTGATATCCTATGCGAAATGTGTCAACAGTTAAACAGACCTTACATGTTTATGCTGCTTTTTCTCTTCAGTCCAACATCGTCCAAAAGATCTTCAGTGTGGAGAGATGAAGATTGATAAACATGAAAGGTTGGAAAAGATACTGGCAGAAGGCAAATACTTTTGGTACAAACACCAGAAGTGGTACAGTGTGAGAAGCTTTAAGAAGGACATATCGTTTGTACGTCAGTCTTTAAATCATTTTCTGCACAAAAATTTGACATTGTCTCTATTTGCCTGGATGAATCACAGCAGTGAAACAACTAAAATCTTTGTGTTTGTTTCAGGGTGACTCTGGTGGAGGATTTGTGTTCAAGAACAGACTGTATGGCGTTTCTACCTTTCTTGGAGATCCAGTGTTTTCACTCAGTAAACCAAGTGGTTTTATGGATGTCTGTGCCTACAAGGAGTGGATAGATGACACAATTAATTAACCAAAAAACCCTAGGTTGCTAGTAGTCTGTTTTATGGCAAAAAATGCTCCCAGCATCATGAAATCACAAAGTTCAAGTTATTCTTCAAGTTTCAGTTTTCTGTGGATTCATTTTCTGATTCATAGCTGAATTATTTGGCGATTAAAGTTATTGTGCACAAGTTCATCTGTGATAATGTCTTATTTCTCAAAAAGTAAAGCTGCTGTTTATAATAATCAGTACTAATCTGATGAGATTGTCTCTCTTGTGCTTATTTCTGGTTAAAATAACAGATTTTAAAATACTGAACACATTCTGAACTTTAAAAGCTGTTAAACTCGTCATTAAATGGACCAAAACTGAAAACCTGCAGGCTTCCATCAATCAATTTATAAAACAATGCTATCATTTGTACACCATCTGTTATTTGATGTATTCTGGTAAATCCTGATAGTTTTGAACAAAATATTTCCAAATAATAACTTGAATTTTGGAAACCTGCCAAGAACAGACATGAAAACCTTTTCATACATTAGACAATCTGGGTCTGGATGAAAGGGTGTTGATATTATAATGTATTTTATAATAATTAGCAAATAAAAATACCTTGGCTCTACAAAAAAAAGGAATATAGAATATCAGTGGGAAGATTATTATAAGTTAACATGTGTTGACTCCGCCTGTTAGAGCTTTTCATTCAGAACTTTTTATGACTGACTTTTGAGAGCCCAATAGCATCAAAATGTAATTTGCCTCCATGGCAAGCCCTGGGTCATTCCATCAGCTATATCTCCTCACTACATCAGCTGAGCTGCACCGGATTTTTTTGTGGACCGTCAGGGAGCGCTGCTGAACACATTGATGCATATCGGCTAGCTAGCGTATGTGTGCTGACAGTCAAGGTTTTTACTATTTTTGCTTGTAGAGTTTTTTTTTTCTTGAAAGGGAGAGTGTAAAAAAACCCAAAAAACATCAACAGTATTTTTGATATTTTTGATTAGGGAAAACAAAATGTGCTATTTGTCTAAGTTTTTTTTATCATCTCATCTAACAGTACAAAAGAAAATTCTACATTTATTGACTTGCACATAACTCTTAAAGGAATGAGAAAAAGTCAATTTGGTCAGACTTCCAAAATCTGACCTAAAAAAACATTTTTTTTTTTTAGGACAAGAGAACAGAAGCCCCTTTCGGGTTGTTCTCAGCTAGACAGGGAACAACAAGTGAAAAGTTTCCAAACACGTTACCTTCACTAGAACAGAGAGTTCATGAACTCCTCAGCCAACACAGAAAAATGGACTGCACACTCCATCAAGAGATTCTGTCTATTAAAGGGATCCTTTCTCTGCCTGTCCATTTTCCTTTAGCTTTTCTCTCCCATTCTGCAAACAACAATCGACCAGCCTTCCCCCCTTTCTGGTTCTATGCGCTTCTTATTAAGTGGAGAGCAAACAGCCTCCAGTCAAAGTTAAATCAAAATCTGAAATAGGCAGTAGGACGAGATTTATATTAAGGTGTATTTGAGGTGTAGGCGTGGGGGTTATGGTGAAGAAATACAATCAGGAGACAGCTATGGTTGGAATAGAAGATCTACAGGGGCAGATCGGGAAAGATAGAGTTGTGGGGTGAGGGTGAAATGAAAGCAAACATGGATGAAAGAGTAAATCTGGAGATAATAGTTTCTCAACTTTATTGAGTTAAAGTGAAAAAGTGATTCTTTCGATGAACTTTTTAACTGTAAAAAGAGTAAAAATAAAGAACCGTTTGCATTTACTTCAAATATGGCCCAAAAGAGACTCGCCATGGTCAACTAAAACTACTGTAAAATATGCAAAATATTCAAAGAAGAATACCCATTTAAAAAATATTTGTTTACGACAGCTATCATTTTCAAGAATGAATGACAAGTGGAGAAATACATTAAAATTCTTTGTCAGAACTTTAATGTAAAGTTGTAGTTTAATCTCAGACTATTCTCCCCTAGCTGCTGTGTTTGCATTTGTTTTATATTGATGCTCTTATTTAATGTCTAATGAACCTAAACCAAGTTTCTACACCATTAGATTGCTTTGATTCTTAAACCCGTTCCAGAACAGCTGGTCCGTACTGAGATCAACAGCAATTGACATCTTACCACAACACAGATGGGGGAAGAGGGAATAACTGAGGAGGAATTGAAGAAAAAGCCATCAACTATTTTTTAATCATTGTTTTTAGTTTATATTTTGAACCATTCATACATACATCCAAAAGTTGTCTCTGGATATGAATTATCTTGAGCAATAATTCAACACCACTTCACTTTTTACCTTCCCTTCTGTGTCCTGTTTACTTAGATCTTGTGTGACAGGAAAAAATAACCTTTTTTTTTCCTGTTCTGGTGTGAATCTTTAACTCAAAGGATAAACAGTGAAACTTTGTGATGAGAAGTTTCTGTCATTAAGACTGAGGTCTACATTCGACTGGGTTGAAGCTTGACTTTAAAATAAATTTAATTAGAATGAGTTTCATTGTCTTGCTGCTGAAAACAGAAACATGTCTTCCAAAGTTATTCACACATCTTGTACGATCTCACTTTACAGCTGCAAGTGTCTGTGGCTGACAAACATATAAGGAATATGACAAATAGTGTTTACAAATGAAAATCTGAAAAGTGTGTTGCCATTTATATTGAGCTCTACTGAGCTGCTATTTATAGAATCACATTTTGACTGCAATTACAGCACCGAGTTGTTTGTGCTCTGCCTCTATAAACCTACTAGTGGATCTCTGAAGCTCTTCTAGGTGAAACAGTTTCATTTCTTCCCTGTCAGTTTAGGTTTGTATGTTAGGAATTTGCTCCATTTCACAAAAAAATAATGAAATAAAATTCATTATGGGTTGATTCCATAATGTTAGAAGATATGAAATAGTTCCACGGGGCATAAATACATTTCAATGCTCTGCAGATCTAACTAAGTAGCTTCAGTTGATTGTTATGTCTTTGCACATTGGAAGCACTAAATGACCCTTTGTAGTGCAATTCCAGTCTGTCACATCAAATCTGAGTTGATTAAGAAAAAAAAATTCTAATTATCCCACAGAAAATCCTAAGTAATCCTTTAATTAAAATTTTAGACTTTCATCATCAATTTACTTACAGTCACACATGGTGTTTTCAATAAGGGTCCTCCAAAAAGACATGGCCCTATTTAAACTACCTCGGCCTTCAACACGTCTTCACTGAAGTGGGCTGAGCAATGTACTGTAAGTTGGAGCGTAGAAGCAGAGGTCAGGGCCAAGTTGGGAAATAGAAAACATTTGGATTTGCTGTTTGTTTTGATGCTGGCTACATACAAGCTGAAAACTATATGGCCAGCTTTGATTTTACTAACCAGAATTGTGACTTCAGTGGGCATCTTTGTTTTTGTCTGACTGTGAAGTCTAAAATTCAGCTTCTGAGTTCAAAGAAAACGCACAACAATCGCAGGCAAACTTTGGGCTTAGCACATAAAAAGCATTGCACACCCTGCTTGAAAGGATGTTGTGAAACGTACTTCTCCATCCTGAATGTTGATTTTCATCCAACTCTGAATGACCCAGTGCAAAGGAGAAGAGTTGAGAGCATGAGTAGTACTTCTGTTGCTACACAGCTTTAAACAAAAAGATACGTGACTTTATGTTTATTATTATTGTTCAAGATTACTTTCTTTGCCTATGCCTCTGTATTTGTGATGATTGCGTTGTTGTTTTTTTGATGTAAATGAAGTGGGAAGCGTCTAATTCCATTCAAGGCTAAAACAATAGGATTGTACATTTGTATCAAATTATGCAATGACTAAGAATTATACAACAGAGCCACACTTACTCTTCTCTTTAGAAATCTGGTATGAAGAACTTGTATTCACACATCTGCCTATGTGCATACACTCAGTTTTACTGCCGAAACTAAAGGCGGTGTGTTTCATCTGGTCCCAGCTGGCTGTTTAAGAGAATCTGTCTATGTATGTGTAGCCGAAAAGGGGAGGAGAAAATAAATTACACAGCAAGCCGACTAATACCCACCATGGAACTCCATTCTGCAGGAACTCCTGGGAGCATTTCTTTTATTCTGCTGTAATTAACTCCGTACCTGGTGATGAGCCACCCACAGGCCTAATGGTAATTTAAATTTAATGCACACCGTGATAAGCGGCAGTGTTTTTTGATCGCAACAACTCGAAAATGCTATCATGGGAGAAAAATGACTTTATTTCCACGCTGGACCAATTTTGTATGGCAATCTGCTTGCTCTATACTGTTCAGTGAAAAGGCCAAAATTGAAAGTAAATTGTTTCACAGGAGAATTGTTATTACCTTGTGGTTGTGTTGTAAACAATAAATGGTGTCAATAAATCAGTAATTGATGAGAACTTAGTGAGTGTTGTTGTCAAGTAAGAATGTTATTGGGAAATGTAAACTGATTTAAGCTAATTGAATCAATTCCTTATTTTTTTTCTGGTTCTAAGTAAGGATATTTATCATCAATGAGATAGTTTCAACTCTCATAAAAAGGAGCTTTAGTCGCTGCCTTTTTGCAAAATCCCATTTTCCTTCTCTTTTATGGGTGTTTGCATCATTATCTTCAAACTTTTGCTTTGTCACGGAGAGCTCACAAAGCAAATGTCATTTCACTAAACTTTCTTTTTTGTTTGAGATAATTCTTGAATGGGTTTTTGTTTTATAGCAGCAAAGCAATTATTCTCCAATCCTTCATTTTTTTATGTTTTGAAAAGTTTTAGTATGTTTTCATGAAAATCATTGTGTTCAACAACATTGTCCTTTTGATTAATATTATGAGCTTAGATTTTTTTTTTAACATTATTTGGTCATATGATAAGCAGCAGCCAGTGTTCAGCTTTTATAAAGAAGGAGGGAAATGTGGAGAGTATATGTTACATATATCTGTGTTTTCTTTCCATAGTTTCAACAAACATTAAAACTTTTAACATATGCTCTGGATTTCAAAGGTTCTTTGTTTGAGTGTGTGGCTATATACAAATGACCACACAAGTCAGGATTCAATGACTTTGTTTCTTTCAGGACAGCATAAACATAACTTGCCTCCTAAATCTAATTTTCTCACTATTAAACGACAAGCACAAAACAGAAGCACTCCTTTAAATGTTTACTAAGAAATTCAGACTTCTTACATTGCACCTTATTAA